CCACATGCTTAGGGCATGGTGAGCATGGTGCGCCTGGCTCAGCGCCGCCCTCCTGGTCCTGGGCTGGGGTCTTCGGCCTTGAAGCTGACTGCAGAGTACATCCAGCTCTTTATAAGGACTGAAAACAGCCTTGGGGAATTTTCCCCACTGTTGGGTTTCAGAACCAAGTTCCTGCTGGCCCAGGTGTCAAGGCGGCCTCTTCCGCCTGGACCCAGCACCCTGCCGTCCGGGCCTCGGTGGCTCACAGAGGCCAGTGCCTCCTGCAGTTTCACCTCGGCTCAGGCTGACTGAGGAGGAAGGAGCAGAAGGCCAGGTGAGCGGAGCGTCACAGGACCCTGACCCGGAATTTTCCACCCCGCCCCCCTCTAACATGACTCAGCCCAGCCAGGCTCTGGGGGAAGTCCCTCGGCCTGCCGTGCCCACTGTGGCAGCAGGAGGAAGGGACAGTGGTGTCCGGCCTTATCGCTGAGCAGGACTTTTCCACTGTGGTCCAGAGGCTCTTGGGCCCACCGCTTGCCCAAGACAGACTTCCTGTGGGAGCCTGGAGCTGCCACACCCTGGTGCTGTGGGCCCGGAAGACAGTAGCTCACAGGGCCATCTGTCACTCTCACTGCAGCCCAGGAAGTGAGGGGACAGGGGCAGATTCTGCAGATGGGTGCACAGGGCTGGTACCTCAGGCCCAGGTCCAGCTTCAGGGCTGATCCCACCAGCACCTGCCCCACTCCCGAGGAGTGGTACCTTGAATTGTCTGGTCCACACAGGAGACGGGAGGCAAAGCAAAGAGTTGTACTTTCTCAAACATTTCCACTCTGGCTCCCATGACACATCACGGTGACCCCTGTGAGACCTGCATTTCCTGATTGTGGAGCAGGAACTGAGTAATTCTGTAACCCTGAGCCTCCCAGACAAAGCCTCTGACCTTAGCAGATGAGCTATGAGCAGGTAGGACCAGCGGTGCCCAGGGGAAGGTGCTACCCCCTCCCCCAGGGGCTCCAAGAACCCCCCACAGTGGTCCTGGGGTCCAGCAGTGCCCAGCTGCTCCAGACAGACATTCCTGCCCAAGGCCTCCCTGCCCAAGGCCTCCCCTCCCCACACCCTGACGCCCGGCTTCTCCCATGGGGTCCAGGGCTCAGAAAGGGCCAGAAAACCCAGAGCAGGTCCTGCTGCTGGACAGAGCCTCTCCCCCAGTCCTAGCCGGCGAGAGGGGCAGGGACATCCACGCTGTCTCCACACTGGCAGCACGGAGGTTTGTCTGAAGCCCTCCAAGGCAGGCAGAAGGGTCCCAGGTGCTGGCCTGCCTGACACAGGACCGGTGTGTTCATAGGTGTGGAAGCAGCACTGTCACACGTACACTCCTGGCGCTGCCCTCTGAGGGACGCCCAGGCCACTGTGTGGCTGGGAGCTCCCCCTCCAAGCTTCCCCAGGGTGCATTCAAAATCTGCATCCAGGACAGCATTCAGTGAAAATATAATGGAGCCCAGCACACTGGCGATGTCTGTAATCCCACCCACTAGGGAGGCCGAGCAGGAGGATGAGTTCGAGACCAGCTTGGGCAACTTAGTGAGACCCTGACTCAAAAAAGAGGAGGTGGGGACACCCAGGATGTGACTCAGTGGCGGGTCTTTGCTTAGCCTGTGCAAAGCCCTGGACTCAGCGCCAAGTGAATAAACAAGCAAAGGACGTGTACATGCGCATTTCCAAGTTCTGGTGGCCACACAAGAAAAGGGAAAAGGAAATGAGCGGCACTGGACTTAATGATGTCTTTTCTTTAAGTCCAACAGGGCCAAAATGTTACCATTTTGATAAGTAAACAGTGTAAAGTTTCTGTTGTTGTTGTTCACAGTACAGGGGACTGAACCTAGGACCTATGCACTGAGCTACATCTCCAGGCTTTTAAAAAAAGTTTTTGTGGGGCCGGGGATTTAGCTCAGTGGTTTTGCCACCTGCTGCACAAGTGCAAGGACCCGAGTTTGATCCCCGGTACCAAAAAAAAAAAGCTTTTTGAGAGAAGATCTTGCTAACTTGCTGAATTATCCAGGTTGGGCTCAAACTTGGGACTCTCCTGCCGCAGCTTTTGCTACAGTGGGCTGGAATTTTGGGGGGGACCAAGGATCGAACTCGGGTCCTTGCGCTTTCGAGGCAGGCGCCGGAACCACTGAGCTAAATCCCCTGCCTGGAATTTTTAATGACATACTCTACTTTCCTTTTTTATTCTAAGTCCCCCAAATCTGACGTGTGCTTTACACTTCTAGCTCATGTCAGTTCGGACACTGAGTGTTTATCAGGAATCCTCAACTGGATTTAGATTTCACAAAATTGGCAGGCAGCGGAGTACATTCACTCACCTGCGTGGCCCTGGCACACATGATGCTAGTGGTTGAGGGGAGCACCCACCTTAAGTTTTAAGATTTCAATGAGCTGAGTGGGAAGAGGGTAAAACACTGCATGTGCCCAGAGCCTGCCTGCCACTGTCACCGTGGCTGCTGCCGGCACAGAGCTGCGGGCTGGGTTCCAAAGGCCCTGCACCGACCAGCCCCACCAGCAGGCAGCCCACCTGGGTTGACAGCCATGGGACCACGGGACAAGAAGGGCTCCGTGGTCAGACAAGCCTCGGACCAGGTGCCCGGCCCTCATGATCAGCACCGACCCGCTGCAGGGAAGGGCCTCGGAGGTCCCGTTGACCAGCTGGCTTGCTGGTGCAGCCCAACACCCCAAGCTTTAGTATCCCGGGCCGAAGGTCAGTAGGGCCCAGCCTGAAAGCTGCTCTTCCTTTTCCCCTCCTCCTCCTCTCCCTCCTCCTTCTCTTCCTCCCCCTTCTTCTCCCACTCCCATCTTCCTCATCCTCCTTCTCTGGGAATGGAGCCCAGGCCTTCACACTTACCCAGCAAGCACCCCGCCACCGAGCTACACCCCAGCGCAGCCTCCTCAGTCCCGCTCCTGCTCCACCACGGAAACCTGCGTCATGGCAGTGCCTCTCCTCTCTCTCTCTCACACACAGATAACTGCATGCTCCCCTCCCAGGGGACACCCACTGTACCAGACTGCTATGTCCTTTGAGCCACCCTCTTCAACCCTTGTCTGCTGCCTGGAGAACCAGAAGGAAGCCAGGAAGGCGGCCCTGCAGGCCTGGGGAGGCAGCACAGGGCACCCTGAAACCACAGGTCAGGCCCCTCCCACACTGCCCCATCCTAGGACGGTGACACAGAGAGGCCCACGCACCAAGTCCTGTCCACCGGCCCACTGTCACCTCCACACGGCACGCCTGCCGCCTCCTCTGCCGGTGCATGCCTGGCTCCTTGCTGCCACGGGGCCTGGCCCAGGTAGCTCGCCAGCCCCAGCACCCACTCACCTGGGCAAGATCTACTCACTCTCCCAGCGCTCAGAACCATGTCCTCAGGGAAGGCTGGAGCCCCACCCGCTGCAGGCCTGCGCCCGGCCACCTGTGGCTCCTGGTCCCTCCAAACCCACACCATCAGGGTTAGTGACCATGTTTATGTTGCCAGGGCCTGCGCTGGCTCAGTCTTACCTCTGGCGTCCACAGCATCATGGAGGGCCTTGCCCGGCCACCTGTGACCAGCACCAGGACGGAGGTGGAGCTGCTATGACACGGGGCAGCCACCCCATGTAGAGACTGTGGTGCTGCCAGACCGCAGGGCTGGGCCTGCTCCTAGCACGTGAAGGTGGCCATGCCCTGGGTGGAGGCCTCCCCGGGATCATGGGCAGAGTGGCAGCCAGACATGAGCTTCATTCTGCATGGGCTGGTGTGAAGTGGAGGGAAATGCACTGTGTTAGGGTCTCCCAGGTTTTCATCCATCTAAAAGGGAGGCCCCAGGAGCCAGAGAGAACCTGGAGCCATCAGGTGTCTCCTCCACCTGGGGAGAAGGCTGGGTGGGGAGCAGGCCCAGACAGATTTGGGTCAGTGCCTCTGTGCCATGGTGGCATCCCCACGCAGGCTGGCACTCAGGGCCTCTGGACCTGCTGCAGGGCTTCTGACCTTGCTTGGGCAGGCTGGCCATTGTGCATTCCCCCTTAATGACCTGACTAGTACTTAACGCTCCCTCATCTTTACCTGGCTTTCAGGTGCTCTGAAAATGAGTTTCCCTAAGGTGGGTGGGCAGAGGGCCCCTGGCTCTCACCAGGTGTTGGCAGACGGTTGTGAGTTGGGGACAGGTCCTCAGGCCTCGTGAACACACAGGTTGGAGCCTGCTCCCGTCACAAACAGCTGTGTCACTCAGACCACAGCCTCAACGTCGCCTTCCTGCTGCCGGAGGACCAGGAAGTGGCTGTCATAAGCGTCACCGGGGCTGGCAGTACAAGCTGAACCCAACCCAGGAAGCCCATCTCAAAGCACCCCCAGGGCAGAAATTTCCCTTGCCTCTCAGCCTGGTAATTTTCCAGTTGAAGCTTTCCTCTTGAGGGGCAGGAAGGACATTGAACTATTGACACAGCTCAACCAGAAACGTTTCTTCTGCCCAATCAGAAGTCAAGACCACCTGGAGCAGGAGCTGACGAGGAGCAGAAGTCAGTGCTGACGTCAAGGTGGGGCCTCTGGGGAGGCCAAGCTTCAGGAGCCCAGCCCAGGGGCTGCCCCTGCCCCGGCCTTGCAGGTTAGGTGCATCTGGCCACACCTGAGCAGCACCTGGAGTAGGGCAGGTTCCAGGGAAGGATGCCTCAGGAAGCTGTGACTCAGGGCCCTGGATGGAAAATGGGGGCCAAGGGGAACTGGGCCACTCTCAGAGGGGCCACCAGAGGCCTGGAGACACTTGGTGGGGACATCTGGGAGAACAGAGTGCCCGAGTGGAGGGCCTGGGCTCAGGGGTCATGCCTGCCTTGCAGTCCTCCCTGCGTGGCAGCCTCGGCCCAGCACCAGATGTGCCTGCAGGCAGAACACAGCCTGGCTGCCTCTCACAGCCATGAGGGCATGCGCGGACGCAGGAGGCCCAGAGCACCACCACCCTGTCCCCAGTTCTCGTAGGTTCCTGGGCAACTCTGTATTTGGGTATTTTTAAGGGAAGCTCTTTATTGTTATTCAAATGTGTCACTGTCAGAAAAGGGGAAGTGACCTTCCAGCCACACTCCTGCCAGCTCCCCCAGAAAGAGCAGGTGATGCCAGAACCCGACTCATTGAAGGGCAGAGCCTGTCCTCTGGGCTGGACAGGGGTGCGGAGCCTGCCCCACAGGACCAAGGGAGGACACTGGCGTCCTCAGGCCTGCGTCTGCGGAGAGCGACGACCACCGCGGACAGTCCCCCGCAGCCCGGCCGCTGGGCATCACCACACACGGGCTGAGTGCTCAGTGGCAGACAGATAAGCACATCTGGCCTTTGTCCTCTTCCCCAGAAATGAGGGTGAAGGAGAGTTCAGTGCAAATCTCGCTTGATGAGCTCGCTTTCATCCGTGGCTTTCATGTGAACCACCTTCGGCTGGCAGAACCTGCCCTGGAGCTCTGGAGCCACTAGTCCTGTGACTCAGACCCCACCTCTGCCTGAGAAGCCAAAAGCCAAGGACCCATTGTCCTGGGACGCATCAGAGGCCTGTGCTGGGTCACCCCTCCCGGCCAAGGAATGCTTCCTTCACCACCGAAAGTGGGGCTCTGCATAGGAGGCACAACAAAATTCCAAACATTTTTCATTCCTTAGTTTATAAGTTAGCACTGCCTTGGACCAAAACAAACAACCCCACACAGAAGAAGGGAGTAGTCCCTGCCCCAGGACAGCTGCCCGGTCTGGGCTCCTTGCGGGGTTGCCCTCGAGAGGGTGGACAGCCTGGAAAGCGGTGCCAGGGGGCCAGAGTGTCTGTGCCAGCCCGACGAGCCACGGCTCCTGTTGCCTGGCGTCTGGGCAGCACCGCTCACGGCACCTGGGCCTGGAGCGGGACTTGGTGCAAGGGGCGGCGGAGAATGAATGTCATGTGGAGCTGCTCTGCTCAGAGTGGGGGATCGGTAGGGGACCCAGGGCCCCCACAGCCCCTACCCTGCAGCCTTGTCCTCCTGGGGCCTCCTTCATGGCCCTCCCTGACCATTCCAGACACCTGGAGACCACCAGAGCCTCCGACCTGGGAGGATCCTCAGGGACTTCAGCTGGGCCCCGTGGAGAGGAACCGGCCCCATCCCTGTGCCTCCACAGCATGTCCTCGGGTGCATAGGGTGTGGGCAAAAACCAGTGACTGTTATCACCGTTAACCCCCTCAAAACCCTGTCACTTCGAACACTCTTGTCCCACCATTCTTACCACTTCCTGCAGCAGCTCTAGAGTCCTCTTTCGTGTCTTTAGTTGTGCTTTCCTGGCTGCCTCCATGTCCTGAATCGGTTCAAAGCGTTTGGCTCTCGTGGTCATTTTGATTTTGGGGGAAAGCTAGACGACACCTGATGCCAGACCTGGTGAATAAAGTGGATGAGGACACACCATAATGTTTTTATTTGACAGAAGTTGCCATAAATGAGGTATGATCAAAACACAGTGAATATTTAAATTAAAAATTTATCAGGGTGAAAGACACATTGCTATTGGTCCCCCTGAAAATACTGCCTCACTGCAAATGCTTATCCCATCATTTTTGGCCATGTGTCTTTTACCGGAATAGGGATTTTTTAATTTAACCCTTCACTGTAGTTTTGAAGGTCGCCCCGTGTGTGTCTTCCTTGTTGGGGCGCTGAGACAGAGCTCAGCCCTGAGGCTTTGAGGAGGACTCCTTGCCCAAGGCCTCTAGGGACCTTGCCGTGGAGCAGGAGGAAGCCCTTGAGGTTCTGACCCTGAGCCCAACCTGCCCGCAGCTGAGTCTGCTCCCAGGTTCCAGGCTTGGCGGTGGCCAGAGGCAGCCCATTCCTCTCTTCCTGCTGAATCAGTGGGGTCAGGGCCTGATTCTGGCCACACCCACTCCCACTCCCAGGCTGCTTTTGGGGTTGGCAGGGCCCAGGTGCTTCCTCCTGTGCCAGGCTGTGTTGGCCTCTGACCTATGCTCCCCGGGGCAGCAGCACCAGAGGCCAGAGGTCACCGGGCTTCTCAGGCACTGTCTGAGCCGCCCCATCTCTGGCCCTCCCTCCCCTTCCCTGGTGGCTCCCACCCAGCCTCCTCACTCCAGCCAGCCCCCATCCTGAGTGCCTGGCCTGGTCTGGATAAATGCCATCTCGCCACCAAGGATGGTGCTGTGTTCTCCCCTCTGGCCCTGGCTCTGTTCAAAGCCCAGGGCCCAGGGTCTAGCTCCGGACTCACCGTGTGCAGCAGGCACCTACGAGCTTCTGTGCCTAACACGAAACTCTGACCCTGCCCTCACCACCTCCTCTGGCCCAAGAGTGAGCTCTGGGCGTCTGTAAACCTCTCCCTGGTGTGCTGCCTTCTCTCTGCCCCTTGGGCCCATCACTTTCTCCCCGGACCCCTTGCAGCCACCCTGTTGCTCCCAGTCCTTCACCACACGGCAGTCTCTCGCCACACATGCATACATGCAGCCAGCCATGTCGAAGTGCAGCTGAAATCTCTCCTCGGCTCTCAGTGAGGTTGGCGCCCTTCGCTGTGTGCTGGGAGGAGGATGCAGTATCGGGCCATGCATCACGTCACTGGCACCATGGCACTGCTGTAGTTACCATCATCATCGATGTCACCATGTTTGGCCTACAAAAGCTGTGTAAACAGCCCTGGGCACTCCCAGCTCCCCCCGGAGGTGACCACAGGGGCCCAGGAGGAAGGGACACGCTGCTTTCCCTAGGAATGTGGCCGGAGTGGAAGGGCATTAACACCTCTCAGGCCATTTAGAGACATAAATAGAGAGTTAGGAGGGAAATATTTATCAGCGCTCTGGGGTTTTTCCATTTCCCTGATCTGAGGCAACAGACTGTGAGTCACTGGTCACTAGGACCCGGGTTAGTAGGCCCCGTGCTGGCCCCACAGTACTCAGCCAACCGTAGCCCCTCGGCTTGGTCCAAACCCAGATGACGGGTCAAGCACCCTGGCGAGGCCGGCAGCGGCCGGAGGCCCCAGCTCACCAGGCCTGGCCAGCCCCTCGCGGGCTTCTTCCCCCCTCCCAGAGCACCTGCTGGCCTCCATCCAAGACTCCTGGGGTCTCTGCCGAAGCGGCCCCCAGGGAGGCATTCTGTGTTCCACAGTTTACTTGTTTCCTTCTCTACAGGACTCTTCTTCCCAAACCCCAAGGGGAGCCGCATCCAGAGCCTGGCTCAGCCCTCTGCGCTGTGGCAGGCCTTTGGAGCAGCAGATTACTGCGATTACCGACCCCGATCCCAGCCCCGGCAGAGCCCTCTTCGTGTGTTTTTGCCCTGTGATGTCAGTGTTCTTCTTAACTTTATTTGAAGATGAAAATCTTGAGGCTCAGAGAGGCTCAGATACTCACCCAAAGTCCACAGAGCAGGTGTCTCTCATGGCCAATATCTGACCCAGGTCTGCTATTCCAGAGGCTGCACTCAGAGTAGCCGTACACGGCCTGGCCTGCAAAGACAGGAACAAGTGCCCACCATACACATTTTTTTAAAAATCGTTTTTATTTTATTGTTTGCCAGACATAGTGGCACACCTGTGTAGCCTCAACACTCTGGAAGGCTGAGGCAGGAGGGTTACCGATTCAAGCTCAACCTGGGGAATCTGGTAGTTTATTAAGACCCTGTCTCAAAAATTAAAAATAAAAAAGGGGTTGGGGATGTAGCTCAATATAAAGGCTCTGGGTTCAGTCCCTAAAAATAAATAGTGAATAATAAAAATAAATAAATAGTGAAAAATAAACAGTGAATAAGTTAATCACTTTTAATGTAAGGTATAGTGTCATACAGCAAAATAGGGATTTCCTATGAATAAAATCATACAATGTTTGTTCTTTTATGACTGCTTATTTCCGTTCACTTAATATCCCACAGGTTCATCCATACTGTGTATGTGTCAGGTTTCCCTTCCTTTTTAAGGCTGAGTAAAGTTCCATTGTATGGATGAACCAGTTTGTTTCTCCATCTGTCCATCGGGTGACACGCTGATTACTGTGAGTATTGCTGTTATGAACATAGGTATGCAAATACTGCTTTGTGTCCCTGCTTTCATTTCTTTAGCATAAACACCCAGAAGTGAAGTTGCTGGATGTTATGGTCATTCTATTTTTAATTTTAGAGGAACTGCCATACCATTTTCCTCAGTAGCATGCAAGTACTTTTAAGAAGTCCCCAAAAGGGCCGGGGATTTAGCTCAGTGGTTCCACTGCCTGCCTCAAAAGCGCAAGGTCCTGCGTTTGATCCCCCGTACCAAAAAAATAGAAGTCCCCCAAGATATCATCCATGAAGCACAGGCAGCAAAACCAAAAACAGGTAAATTAGACTGCAGCCAATTAAAAAGCTTCTGCACAGGGCTGGGGATTTAGCTTAGTGGTTCTGCCGCCTGCCTTACAAGCACAAGGTCCTGAGTTCGATCCCCAGTAGCAAAAAAAAAAAAAAAAAGCTTCTGCACAGAGAAAGAAACAATCAACTGAGTGAAATTGGGAGAAAATATTTGCAAACCATATAGCTGATAAGCTGATCTCTAGGATATAAAAGGAATCCAAGCAACGCACAGCTAGAAAACAAATAAGGCAATGGAGAAGGGACAGAGTCTCAGCAGACCTTTCTCAGGGACAGCTGACTGAGGGCCACGGGTGGAAGGGAGGAAAGATGCTCAGCCTCACTCATCTTCTGGGAAGTAAAGGTCAAACCTGCAGTGAGATCATCTCATGCCGGCTAGGGTGGTGACTATCAGCCCAAAGAAAACAAGTGTTTGCAAGGATGTGAGAAAAGGGAACCCTTGCCCCGTGGGTGGCATGTAAATTAGTACAGTCACTATGGAAAACTGTATGGAAGTTCCTTAAAAACTGAAAACAGAGCGAGCCTGGGTCCAGCAGGCCTCCCTATAACGTCCAAAGAGATGTGCACAAGAGACTTCGCTACTCCTGCATTTGTTAAAGCCTCATTCACAGCAGCCAAGGGAGAGAATCCACCTTGGTACCCATCAGTGGATGAGTGGACAGGGACAATGTGCTTCGTGTACACAGGGTACTTACTCAGCCCAGAAGTAGAAGGAAGTGCCGCCATTTGCAGTGCCGTGGATGGACCCGGGGAGCATTTTGCTAAGTGAAAATGAGTCAGAGGCCAGCAGGGAAGTGCTGTGTGGTCTCACTTACATGAGAAACCTGAAGAAGACAAACTCAGTGAAACAGAGTGGAGAGGCAGCTAGCAGGGGCTGGGAGGGGCAATGGGAGGGTGTCAGTCAAAGGTACAAAGTCTCTGACAATGAGGAAGTTCTGGAGATCTTGTGTATCCCTCAGAGATGTTGCTTCTGGCAGTGTGGTGTGGACTGCATGCTTGGAAATTGCTAAGAGAGTGCATTTAAGTTCTTACCACACACAAAAAGTACATGAACCAATGGCTATGTGAATTAGTTTGACTTAATCATTCCGTAATGTATATATGTACCAAAACTATAAACACGCACAATTTTTAGAATTAATGAATTCTTTTAAAAAGTCCTCAGAAGGGGATAGAGTGGGTAGGAGAGAGGCTGCGTCTTCCCTAGCAAGTGTGGGAGACCCTGAGATGGGCCCTGGGGCATCGGCTTCACAGTGCCAGCCCTGCCAGCCCTGCGAGGTGGCTTGCTCACCCCAGGAGGATTTGCCTCTGGTGCAGGAGGCAGAGAGTAACCCAAAGAGGCCGCCACTCTGAGGAGGCTGAACCAGCTTCTCCTGGAGACTCCCGGATCCCAGCAAGGGCCTGGCCTAGGGAGCAGAGCCAGGGTTGCCAGAAGCCAAGTGCCCCAGACTGGCACATGGAATGTGGCTGTGGACTGCCAAGCCCAGAAGGCTGTCAGGGCCCCAGGCCCAGGTCATTGGGGAAGTGATGGGGCCTCCTGCTGTCCCCATGCAGTTCCCGGTCCATCGGCTACATTCCCTCGTCTACGTCTGTCCTCTGTGTCCTCTGGTAGCCCTTCTCCTGGAGGTGTCCCCATCCACCCAGAAGCTGCCAGGGCCTCCCTAGGGCCCTGTCCCCCAAAGGGACAGTGAAGGGTGGGTTCCAGGCCTAGGATTAAGGTAGGGGATGGGGTGTCCTCTTCTGGATGTCGAGCTGGGCAGGCACGAGAGGAACCTGCGCCGGAGCTTGGAGAAGCAGCAGGGGGGGCTGCCTAAGAGAGGAGCGAGGGGCGGCCAGTGGAGGGGCCTCTGCCCTCTGGTCCGCTCCTGGAGAACTGTCCCAGGCTCCTGGCCACCGCTAGGGCCAGGCTCGGCAGAGGCAGTGGTGATGGCTGGGGACAGGGGCTGTGCACACATGGAACATCGGGGCCTCTGGATGGGGCCCTCCTGAGAGATACCACTGCTCTTCCAGGGGCAGAGACAAGGTCACACCAGCCCAGTCGACCAAAGTAGAGGCAAGTAGAAAAGAGAAAGCCCCTCCACTCCCAGTCCCCTCTGTTTCGATGTCCGCTCCACCTGTGTCTGCACAGGGTGGCAGTGTGGCTGCACATCTGCAGGTTACTGACCAGCTCTCGGGGTCAGCCCGGCCGTGCAGCCTGCTGGGGGGAGGAAGGCTGTGTGCAGGCCAGCTCGGCAGGCAGTGCCACTTAGGCTACCAAGGGTGGCGGTGACCCCGACCCCCTGGCCGAGTGCCTTTGCTGGCTCCTCCTGCAGCCCTGAGACATTCCCCAGGCCATGCAGCGCCAGCCAGCGCACTCTGCATGGACTCAACAGAAGAGGGCAACAGGCCAGGAGTCCACACAGGGCTGCAGCCATCAGCGACAGGACAGTGGCGTGGACGAAGCAACATGCAAAACATGGCCCCCCATGGGGGGGGCACCTCTCACTGTGACCACAGACCTGGGTGTCTCAGCCTCAGGTGGGAGGCAAATATGGAAAACAGGAGAATAGTCCCTGTGTTCAGGACATGTCACCCTGAAGGAAGCTTTTCCCTAACAATGTCCTTTAAGGCTAGTGTAATGTTGCTTTTGCAATAAGTAAAAATTCCTGGGGAAAGAGGAGCAGAGGAGACAAATCTGGGACGCAGAAAGATACTCAGAACAGAGGGGCAGGGAGAGGGAGCTGCACACCCAGCCAGGCAAAGGGGACGCGGGGCCCTGGGGCCCAGTAAAGGTCAGCAGCTAAGCAGGGCTGCAGACAGGGCTGGGCTGAGGAGTGGCAGGAGGTGAGGTGTCTGGGCCTCAGAGCCTGGCTGGGGCACGGGGGAGGGGCAAAGTGAGGAGCCTGAGGTGAGGCAGGAGCTGAGGGCCGCCTTGCAGGATGCAGGCTTGGGTTTCCCACATTTACTAAGTCCAAAGGTGCGCAGGTCTGTGCCAGGCCGGCACAGTCAGGAGCAGACACCAGGAGGCAGTCAGCCTGAGGGGCTCGCCCCGCACAAACACACACAGAGCCTCGGTGGGGCCCAGGGGCACTGGCCCGGCCTGGGCAGGGGCATGGAGGCTGTGAGGGGCTGAGGGGAGGGCATGGGGTACATGAGACGAGAGAGGCCAGAGCGACCGAAGGAGAGCAGGGCCGCCCGTGAGCGGCTGGCAGATTTGCTCCATTTGTGTGAGCTTTCTTCCACTTTATTTCTGCTGCGTGGAGAGGGCTTTGGAGCAGGTACATGAGGACAGCGCCAGCTAGGAGAAGCAGGCAGCATGGTGCCGGGGCAGGAACCTCAGCATGCAAGTGGAGAACAGAGAAGCCAGAACGGAGTCACAGCCACCTGAGAAGCATTTAGGAAGCGCCACTGCCTCACACAGATGGGGCGCTGGGTCGGGAATGGGTGCTTGGAGCACCAGCACTTAGGAGGGAGCGAGTCAGATATAAGGAGGAAGACCTGGGCGTGACATGGTCTGGGCAGGCTCGAGGACCACAGCTCTCCCAGGGTCGTGTGGAGGGAGCCTGGGGCCAGTCTCGGAGGACACCTGGCTTTGGACACAGAAGGCCACAGAAGCCTGGGTGAGGGATGGTCCGCACAGCTCAGGGAGAACAGAGAAGACAGCACCGCGCCGGCTATAGTGGCTCCCACCCAGGAG